ATAAACATCCACCTCACAATATCACGCCAGGCATCGTGTGTGGGGTGTGGGGTGTGTGGGATGTAGCCTAGTGCAGATGCTTAAAGCGTCCGCTCATTACGTCGAAGACATGGGTTCTAGTCCCCATATGGGTACAATCATGGACCCTAAATATAAGTGTCGATGGTAGAATGTGTGAAGCATATTTCTGGTATCCCCCCTCCGTGATATTGCTGGAAAACTGCTATACCAGAGACAGTTACGATGAATTCAATAAAGAACCTTTCTGTGCGTCAATGAAGCAAAGAAACATCGAACGCTCAGATACCTTACAGTTGTCAATTATAGAATATACCATAAATATTTTTAGAAGTGTTTCTTTTTTAAAACCCTGTTTTGTTCATCACTTAAACTACCATGACTTTCAAGGCAAACACTAAAAAGGTTATTTACATATTAGCATACATTTTGCCAGGTATCGATATGAGGCAAATTCCACATATGGCTGACTAACAAGGAGGCGCAGATTATAGTTGACACACACTTAAATTACTGTATGTATAAAATACAAATAAACTGGCTGCAGAGATTAACTTAACAATTAACAGGAAAAGCTATTCAAACCTGTATGTACAAAGCTATACAAATGTAGTTTACAAATTGAAGCCAGATTAATGTGCATGAAGCCAGTTTAAAATACGAACAGGTATATAAAACATGGTCGACTCACCATGGTCGACTGGTATGTAAACAAGAAAGCATGGATGACTTCATTAATATTCAAAGCCTGGCTACTGATCTTGGATCGGCAAATGTGATTGGAGCAACGCCACGTGGTATTGCTGTTGGACAACGCCCCATCCCATGCTACTGTTGACATAACTAATGTGAAATGTCACTTTTTGCCACCAAACACCACATCGCACATTCAGCCACTAGATGCCGGCATCAAAAAGAATTTCAAGCTTTATTATAAGAAACAGCAAATGAAATTACACCTCGACAATGTTGATGCTGAAGAACCACAAGCCCTTTACGTCAAGCGAGCAGGGGACTTTGAGAAATGTGCCTTCAAAATGTTAGAAACAGAAAACACTGACAGACTATTTTAAGTAGATGAAGCAAGTTGTTAAGACAGTAGCACTTGCATTTACACGAGGAAACGTGTGTCGTTGATTTTCGTAGTGTTTTAAGAACCAGACAGCTTCAATTAAATATGAAATTGCATTTTGTCTTGTTTGGAATTTCCCCAATTGGTAGTCTTAGCTACAGCTACAAAACCAGATATTTCTCTTATTTAAAACTAAGAGCAGAAAAAGAGAAAGAGACCTTACAGGAAAGAAATGTTTGTTGAAGGCAAAATAATTATCATTTATTAATTTTCGGGGACAATATATATTTTTGGAAAAACACACACACACAAAATGGTGATATTATGAGCAAAGATCCAGGTCGTCGGAGTGCTTTGAACCAGAAAACCCGATCCATGAAATCACCTAATAAAACAAGCATCTGTTACTGGGGATCACTTCTAAACGGAATCAACTGACTCCGTAGTCTAGAGGATAGAGCGTCTGCAGAGGGAGTGAGTAAGTGGGTGAATATGTTTTTTTACCGCGACATTCCAGCAATATCACGCCTCCGGACACCAGAAATGGACAATCGAATCCGGGCCTTCGGCTTAAGAGCGAACGCTTTGACCACTAGGCTAACCCACCGCCCCATGGAGAGCGGAAGGTCCAAACAACGTTAAAAGATAGTACTCTGCCTGGCGATAGGCATGAAGTGGATAAAAGAAGGACTGTACATGGTACATATTCTATTTTAGGAAACTCGTGTTAGAATTCATGTAATCACCTCACTCTCACTCAGTAAATAATAATGCTCACACTCGTTTCGAAAAATCAGTATGACACACATGCTTGTATTATAATCGCTATAAAAGTACCAATCATGACCTCTCTCAATATTTGCTGATAGGTGTGTAGTCCTAATCACAATCATCAGCTAAAATTAACTAAAAAATTTCTACAGTTTATAGATTTTAAGGTTCTGCACGGTTTAGTATAAACCGGATTTTTTGTGTAGTCAGGTTCAATGAACTACATACTACTTGTGCGTTTCTTTTTTTGAAGAGTGTATATGGATGCTATCAGATATAATTTGTTTGCGACGGTAGTTTAGATACGTTATTGGGGCGGTCGGGAAGCCTAGTGGTTAAAGCGTTCGCTCGTCACGCCGAAGACAACGGTTCAGTTCCCGACATGGGTACAATGTGTAAAGCCCATTTCTGGTGTCCCCCGCCGTGATATTGCTGGAATATTACTAAAAGCGTCGTGAAGCCAAACTCACTCACTAGATAAATTATGGACATGGCCTTCTGGTCCAGAGCTCTCAAAGTATAATATATCTCAGCGCCAAAAATGAATGATATATGCTTAGGAGTTACAGTCAAGGCAAGTTGTTATTTATACTTAAATCTGCGTACATTGGACGCCGACAGTGGGTTTAACGAGGTTTATACGTAATTAAGATATATTACAGCAGTGCCTTTTAACGAGGCGTATTCATAATTAGGAGTGGCTGAAAATAAGTGTCACATAAGATTATGTAAGCTTTGTTCACAGGTATCTTCACAGACTGACTGTAATAGTGTTATCTGTAATTGGTTGTTTTATCACTGAGCTCATGATACATTTATGTCATGAAACTTACACTCAATATACAGAATTATTGTTTAATACTACACACTAGTGTGATAGCTGCTTCTTTTATGGAAAATGTTAATGTTCTATATGACTTTGTACTTGATGTGCAAAACTTTAACATAAGTGACATTTCCTATTTTAAATGTTATTTGATGACTGTCAAGGCATCCCCAATAGAGGAGCTGGATATAGACACTTTGTTTGGTTTCTTTGAAGGTGGTGCCCGATCCCGAGCTGATTCCCCAAGGCTTATTCTAGATAGTATGACGTTTTGAATACGAAAGTTTTAAACCGTAGTAAGTATACAAAGGTGCTAGCCGCTTGTACGTTTGATAGCTTTCATAAATAGTGTCCAATCTTGACATCGGTCTTGTCCAAAATTGTGAGGCAGGCTGACGAATGAAAGCCAATCGTGAGTCATATATATAAGATTTAATGGTCCAGGGACCCGTTCCACAAAGCGATCTTAGCGGTACGACTGTCGTAAGTCAGTGTTAAAGAATGGGAGTTACGACCGACTTAGCGCTAAGATCGCTTTGTGGAACGGGGCCCAGTAACGTTATCCCAGTCGGGAGTGACAATGAGCCACAAATTCTACAAAGATCTTTTCGATATTGTAGGAAGGCTTGAAGAGCGCCACACGAAAACATTCATCGTCACAAACGTGAGGAAAGACACACACCACTGTCATACATGGCTTGTGTTCGAGGAGATAGAGCGTGTGCCCCTCTGTCACTACTGGTAGTAGAGTGATCTGTGACACATGTAGGCATGCTGCAAGCGACTTGGAACAATTGAGAGTCGAGCACGTAAAACTTGTCCATCCTTTTGTTTGTTGTTTTTATGTTTGTTATTAAACACTGCACTCAGCAATATTCCAGCTATATGACGGCGGTCTAGTTTTTGTAACTTATCGAGTCTGGACCAGACAAACATTTACCTGATGGTACCATGGGGGCTTTGTCTACCGATAGCCACATGTAGTCAGTGGAATGATTCTTATACACCCAGGTTTCATCAAGGTTAATGACCTGGAAGCCATGACGGTGATAGCTATAAATGGTACCGAGATAATGTGACCTTTTCCCATGAAACTGCTCGGTCATCGACACGAGCAGTTTATCGAAATCCCATCTCGTGGAGAGCAATAGTTGTCCGGGAAACATTAATGGCATTTTTAATTTCCTCCCGAATTCTACTACAAGTCGGAGATACCTTCTGCTCATAAAGCTTGTACACCATACGCCTAATAACCCTGTATCAAAGCTGTCTAATATCCTTTTACGTCCCAGTTTTGTTTTTGAGACCACCCCGATACCTTTTTTGTTTTATTTATCATACCCTAGACTTGATGGTATGAACTGAAAACACAAGAGCTTGGGCAGTTCGGCAATTCACCCTATCTAAATTAATAAATGGTTTCCCTCTATCTCTCCTACGTGTAAAGAATTTGTATAATTTCCCAACACAGACTCCATATCGTGTACCATGATTATGGCTCTGCAATGATTTTTTGTGTATGGATTAGATGTTTTATGAAGCCTACATTATTTTCATTATAACGGAGCCACGTACGCATATTTCTTTGGTCCGTTTCAGACTGCCATCATTGGACTTAGAATAAATGTGAACTTAGTGTTTTCGTTCGAATTTGTCTCCTGTAAACTTGTCGATAGGACTGAAATACTTCCAACCAAAGGCAGGTAGATCGGAAGTTACTCGATATTTCAATAGCAACAGTCTGTGAAAAATTCTATCTTTTTTTAACGGGCCAAAAGCATTTTTCTAGCATTTCCGACAGTACTTTAAATGGCAGATCAGGAACAGAGGGGGATTTTACGTTTATTGGCAGTCAAGGTAATAGTGTGGTAGATTATTGTATTGTGACCTCTTCTATGTATGAATGTTTTGAAAACTTTAAAATGGTAAATAGAACAGAATCTGACCATCTTCCCTTGACAGTCGACTTAACCTTATCATATGATCTATCACGTGAACAAGCACGCCATCAGGCGCTCGTGCTGCATGCGCATCTCACAGCAGAGATTGATTTCGGTGGGACTAACACGTGGGGATAAGTTTGTGAACAAACATAATGAAAAGATACATTGACCATTTTCAACATTATTTGGTAATAAATTAATTATAGAATAACCCACGAGGTACGAGTGATTAAGGAAAATATGTCACGAGTGAAATTAATGTTTTAAGTTCCGAACTTTAGCGAGGAACTTAAAACATTAATTTCACGAGTGACATATTTTCCGTAATCACTCGTACCGAGTGGGTTATCCTATTTATTACCCATATTCATATTAAAGACATGTTTCAAGAAAAAAACAATCAACTGTCGCCGATCAAGAATCAGCTGTTTTGTATCAATCCGCGTGTGAAAAAACACTGTCCACTCATTCCAACCGCATTACTCATTTAACGTGTTTTTACGCGTGAAAAACATAGTTCTGTTAAAAAATTGTAAAGATCACATTATTGCAGTTATATTTCTGTCCGATTTAAACAGCGTACACTATCTAGCACTGATAAAGAAGACAGGTTTCCAAAAAGGTTCGTCAGGTTTTTTAATCAAAGCTTGTTTTGACAAAATCTCGTCACTGACAGACAGCCCCGTCGTGCATCGGCAGATACATGCATTTCACATTGAGAAGAGGAAACATGGAAAACTTGTCAATTTTTTTATGTGTCATTTGACAAAAATGCCAAAACCTATAACAACAACATAGACGGAATGTACAGAAGTCTTATTTGTTAGAGAAAAGTTACGAAAAGAAGGTAAACTTTGAAAAGTATGATTGCTGTCACAGTGTCGGAATGAATGACCCGACTTGACCCAGATATGAGACAGCCGAAACCAGGAATGACAAGAGAACCGGCGTTACAGTTTAATCCGAACAAGTTTAAAGAACATCGTGTGTGATTTGAGACAAGTGTCACTGATTGGAAACATGTGCATGTGGGATTTCAGGAGGATTTGTCAAACGCGGAGTGGACACAGTCAGATGACGGGAGTTTGTTGATATTTTGATGTGATTCATAATGGTCGAATACCTGTTGATAGACAATCACGGTATCTGGAGACTTGGTGCTAAGCTGTCCGCATTCACGGAGTTCATTTAGTTCAGTGTCGGACACAGGATCAGCTCGCTGGGGTAAGTTTTCTTTTCCTTGTATTTTTAATAATTATTTTTGTTTTGATTTTAAAACCTCTCCGAGTTCAGCAAAGTGCATCGATTTCGCAACCAGATGCTGGTAATCATGTCGCTAAGGTAACACTCTATGCTACCCTTGATCTGAATTCTGAACTGTCTGATGTGCATGCCGAAATGATACATTTGCAAATAATAATGTTTAGTTGCACCTTTCCATAGTCATATTGTCCCCGGACGTCAGTCAGCCTGCATACCGCGCAGCGCCGTACTTTGCAGACGTCGCGGTTACGAAAAACGTATACATTGTATAAAAAAGTGTCACGTTCTTATTTCTTCACTCAACGTTACAAAATTGTACGAAATAGTGTATCTCTATGATGTCTTTCGGAAAGTCTAAATGTTGTTGCAAAATGAATTTGTTTTTATTCTCATGCCATCGTTGAAAGTGTGAGTAGTCATATTTTTCGTGTTTTTCTTATCTGTATACATTTGTGAACTAAGTTCATGTGAACTTGTCAAGTTTAGTCTTTTTCATTGTGTTTTCATTTTCATTGGCAGTTATCGATGTCATCATCGTTCACAAAGGCAAACCTGTCTGTACAAAGTCCGACTTTTGGATTCGGCCGGTCGAAAAATTCATCAAACAGCAAGCCCTCTAACACAGACGCAAACCAGGACTTGGTGGTGATGATCTTGGCGCCCTAGAGACAGTTTCTGGCAACATCACAATCTGAATCTTGGAACTTCAATCTGGCCATATGCAGTTTTGACAACAAAGACATTAAATGTGTTCAGAGGTTGAATTATACGAATAACTTTTCATGTCAGTCAGATCTCCGAGGTCATTTACTTTGACAGGTCTCAAATGGCCAGCCATGTTTGTTTACAAACGGGGACGTAGTTTTGGTTTTTACTGTAAAATGAAAATCATGTGAAATAAATGAAAAAATTGATAATGTGAAATCATGTTGTTAATATGAAACTATGTGTCTTGTCTTAAAAATCCCGAATCAGTGAGATTGTAGCACGTAAAACATCTGAAGGGAAAGGCGTGGATTTGTGAAAGAATGGGATGAGAGAAAAAATAGTTCCGTTGTCCAATGAAAATTGATCTTTGTTCCACTGACCAATCAGCTTCGAGAATCACTAATTGCACACTGTGCAAATATCAAAAAGTTATTACACTGCATATTTGAGCCCATATGGGTAATAAACACAAATTTAGACTCTGACGTAGAGACGTTACAAGACCTATTAAAAATGGCGTTATATCAATTATGTGACACCATGAAGCACGCCGACTTCAGGTAAACAAACTGCACCAACACCAGCCACAGTGTTCTGATAGGGAATTCGAGACACTTTGTGATTGTTTGTTGTTTAACCCCGCACTCAGCAATATTACGGTGATCTGTTAATAATCGAGTCTGGAGTAGACAATCCAGTGATTGACATCGTGTGCATCGATCCACGTAATTGGGATCGATGACATGCATCAACAAGCGTTAGTCGCCGGATGGTCAGTCAGCTAGCCTGACCACCCGATCCCGTTAGTTGCCACCCTCTGAGAGGATATCGTAAGTCCATGTCATTCAAAAAATATTTCTGCCTATTAGTCCTTTAAACGAAGAACATTTGTCATTTTAATTGTGGCTAACTTTGCGTACAATCGCCAGCTACTGAAGGGATGATGTAAATCCTGCTGGGGTCCATGCAAGTAGCATCGGTACTGTAAGTTCCCATGGTCCCCGGTATGGTGGTCTACCTTCAGTGCCTGGCGATCTATAGCCGGTTTTTATCTTGTATTGTTATGCATAGTGCTATCCTTTTTATGATTCCATACTAGTTTTATATCTTCTTCTGTGATAGTCTAGTTATTTTAATGTCCCTCGTAAGCAGGTTTTTTATGTTAGTTTCAATGTATTTATTATGTTTAACCCTTGATAGTCACGATATGGCTGAAATATTGCCGATGTGACTTAAATTTTTCACTCACTCACTCACTGTTTATCAACTCCCTACGCAACAAGTCTCTGAACATAGAGGGCATGGAGATCAACAAGCCTGAAAATATAAAGACCATCTTCTGAACTATTTTCAATAAAGCTTACGAGTTCTGCAAAAACCTGAGATTTTGCAATTTTCCCACTGTATCCTTTTGGTGTTTCACAACTTCTTCTGTGACTTCTGTATTTCATCTTCCCGAGGCAAGAGAGTTAACTGACTTTAAAAGTCCAGTTTCCACCCTTGCCGAACTAGGCTGGAATTCCTGCACTCCATCGTAGCGCCACAGAGTGGCTATTACGAGTTATGTCCTTTCTATGCCTCTCCTATTGACCAATCAGATTCAACCTCTCGTATCACTTGCATTTGTTTCAAACAAAACGGTGGCGCCCAGTCAAGACGATGTGGTCGATAATCAAGATCTGTATTGGGATAAAACGAGTCTTACATCGCGAAGTGCATCAAATCACGTGAGCACCTTGATTAAAAACATGAAAAGATTTAGAAAATATCTGTTGACAACGAGTTAGCGATGCACATGCTTTGCTAATCCTGCAATCGACCGAAATCTGCATGACACTTTACGAACCGGATTTCGATTTCATTTCGCGATTTTGATTGGACTATGCATAGACTCGTTAGTCCAGCCAAAATGTAACTCCATAATACCAGCCTAGTTCGGCAAGGGTGGAAACTGGACTTTTATAGTCAGTTAACTCACTTGCCTCGGGAAGATGTCTGTATTTATTCTTGTAAGCAGTTAAACAAGTGTCGTGGTATTTGGCCTCAATAGCAATAAGATCTCCAGTGTCTTCCATCTGTTCAGCCATCTCTCTCAATGTTTTGTCTAGCCCTAAGGTTGAACAATTATGTATAGTCCCATGTGATCCGAGGCAAAAACCTGCTTCATGAGTTATTAAACCCGATTCCCTTGAACGTTTAGAATTTTGCAAACGTTCCCTTGCTCTCTCAAGTTTTGATGTGGCAAATTTTAAACATGCTTTGTGCCATTTAGCACGGTTCCTCAAGAGCTCATCTGCACTATAGGATTCTGTTACATGAGTTTTGGTAGGTAGTTTACCAATGTCAAGAAATCCCTGTACGTTCTTAGTGAGATCTTCATAATATTTACATCCCTCAATATTGACGATATCTGCAGGACGTCTCAATGTGTTGTCTTTCTGACCACAGATTATACATCTCTCCCAGTCCATATTCGCCAACAAAAAGTGGTCTGAAAAGAGAAATAAGTGATTTAGATCATAACATAACTTTCATCATAAAAAGAGTTTGTAAATAAGTTTTGAAATAATAGTTAGAAAGAAACGATTGTGTGCTGTGTAGAAAACGTCTTCTCAAAATACTTTGTAAATTATGTTAATATATAGAGGATATATAATGTGTTTTCTCAAATACCACTTTTATCTCATCGAGTGACGTGGGGAGAGTCTAATATTTTCACGAGTGACTCTCCCCGCCTCACTCGATGAGATAAAAGTGGTATTTGAGAAAACACATTGAATTTTCTATTTATTATGTACATGTTTTATTTTTATTACTTGCAATTTATATATTATTTTCGAAAACAGTGTCTGATAAATTACTAAGTTCTCCCTGTCGCTCCTTTACCACTGCCGTATCAAGGGGGTTTGGGAAAAGAGTATAGTTCGTGATAAAACTAGCCTCGTTAATATATGTTATGCGAAATATATTATTTCATATCGAGTATTAGGTTCCATGGACACTTTTGTTTGGCATAATTAAACATTCCTGTTTAAAATGAAAACAGAAATCATTTTCAAACAGCGATTATTTTATTGGCGTAGGAATATATAAACAGTTAGTACCGTGACCATGGCGAACGATCAGCTGAGCGCTCTCCAGGCCTACAAACTCCGCCAAATTTGATCACATTTTCTCACAGATAAGTATGAAAGTTGACATAAACACATTTATAGAACCCCGAACGTATAAACTGAAACATTGTTGCTTGCTGTCATGAATTAAATTAGGAAAGTTCAATTCTCGGAAAATTCAAGCGGGCGCTTCTCGCCTCGGCGGTACGTCTCGCTGTCGCCAGTTGTGCCTAATGTCTGGCGAAGCATGTCCGGCGCAAGAGTGATATTAACATTGCCATAGATGTTATTTCCAGACATCAGACTCGTCAAAATGTTCCTGTGGTCAGTTGAAGAGAAGTTATGCACCTGCGGTTGAGACTGAGTACAGTCGGCATCTGACGTAAACAAAGGGGGATAACTCTTTAATGTTTTGATTCAGGAGAAAGTAGTTCCGGAACCTTGTTTATATCAGTCACTAGTGACTGATATAACTTTTTTTATATCAGTCACTAATGCCTGATAACTTGATCTATCGTCACTGATAAATTCCAGTATTTCATTCTAGGTTATCAATTTTGATTTGTCAGAAATGTTTCGTCTTTTTCATCCAAGAAGAATATGAAAAGTAATTATTATTGAAAATCCTAAAATGAAAGACTAGCTTTCTGTTCTCATTATACGTTCTTAAAAAGTATAGTTAGTTCCCTGTTATTGTCAATTTACTTTGAGAAAATTAGTAATAACTGAGGATATCGATGGTTGTGGGATTCTAGAAAAAGGCAAAACATATCGATAATAATTTAAGCATTAAAGCTTTCAATAAAGCTTTTATTCCAAATAAATGTTTTCTGATTCAACAGAGTGCTGCATATATGATGATATGACGACACGAATGTAGTACTCTGTGAGAAAAATTAGAGTGATCTCCCCTTCCCGTGTAAACTTTTATGGGCCCGTTTTTTGTCTTATAAGCAAATTCCTTGGCCTTAAATGTGCTAGTACATTGATAAAATAATCGAAATAAATCCCATCTTATCAAAAAATTACTTTACAAACTCAATTAATTTCATTTTGTTTAAATTTCTGAATCTTCACGTCAGGGCTTTGAGTTGACAAACGGCACGCAACGTGATCTGCACGCGTAAAATGTCTATTGATTTGGAAGTTACTATTTTTATTGCAGCAAATAATTTATACGTATGAAAAACTACTTACCTTTCACGTATCATCTTGGTCACTATACTCCGTGAACTTTTATCACCTAAATAAAAACTGAGAAGACAGGTCGGGCACCGTATTTTATCAGGTATATAACATGAGCGGATACAGAGATGGGGGTGCGGGGGTGCGCACCCCCCCCCCCCCCCCCCCCCCCCCCCCCCTTTTTATTTCGAAAAAAATCATTATTTCTGTATAAATTACCACCAAAGACAATAAATAGATCTTAATTGTGCACCCCCCTTTTCAAAAAAGCTGTATCCGCCTATGTATATATATACCATATACATAACATGTACAAAGTTTCTTGCCATAATCCGGCGTAACGCCAGATTCGAACATTAGTTACCTGAGAACGGGAAGACACAATGCTAGTTAGAAATGAAACCCAAAGAAAGTTGTGGAACCGAGGCGAGCAGGAAAAAAAACAGGTGAGCGAGTCTGCACGTTTGCTGTTGCATTCCTTCTCAGCCTTTGGTCTCAAGGGATTGTTTAAACAATGAATATGCATGAATTTCGCTAAATGCCCTGCGCATGCAATACACGTGATCAGAAAGGGAAGTCCCTCGACTGTAATGTTGGGATTCCCCGACATTCCGTAGTAATATAAATAGTCCGCCTCGGTGGGCGTGGCTTACATTTTTACATTCATTGGGAAATGAATGCAATAACACGTGACCAATTCAGTTAATCAGAATACAGGAATTTCAATGAACACAGCAAAAATTTAATTATTTTAGGATCGACTATCTATTTCTTTCGGTTTCTTTGAGGTATGAAACGAAAAACGTATGTGCAAACTGTGTGAATCCGCATAGCTTCATGGTCCAGTTTTATTGGAATGAATGAGAACAAGCAAAATGTGTTACAGGCACAGCATCTCCATCATAATAATCATATTATCATTGCACCCTTAATCTTAATCTTATCTATAAATTTCAATTAACACCTCCTTACATCGCTGGATATTACGTATATACATACACGTGGGACAATGACCTTGCCACACGTTACGTAATACCTCGCTCTACAAAACCCGACTGACATGGTCAGTCAGGGAGGCAGCCAGAAGGTAAGTGACAGAGCGAGTCTCCACCCAGGAAGATTGGCCACTCGGTCCAGTGTGCGTTCTGTCACGTTATTATCAACATGTACCTTTTCGACCTATTCCAAACCATCAATAATAAACATGGCTGCTGTCGTCTTAAACTTCACCCCTGAGTTTTGTCTTCCGTCATCATCCTGAGCTACCACCCGAGGGCCGAAACCTACGCCCTTGGACAGATGGTGGAGAATCAGGGTAGCGTGAGTTTTCTGGGACTCTCGCACGATCCCCCTACCCTAACTTGCAGCTAATCAAATGGTAGTTCAGAGGTGATGGGGTACAAAAGCAGCGTCAAGCCAGCCGCCATCTTGACGGGAAAACGAAGAAAGAGACAGACAGCAGCCCAGCCAACCCAATCGTCAGCAATGAAGAGCAGCCCAGCCTACCCGAACGTCAGCAACACCGAAATCCTGAAAATATTCACGTTATCATGTGAGTACGTCAACGTTCAGCCATGCTACCAACACTCAAGATCAAGACGACCACTGTCAAGATTCTTTAGCAAGTGCCTACCAATATATGTGTGTGACAATATATTTGAATGTTCGTTCCAAATCTCAAGTGTACTGTGCTTATACGTATTCTCACGGACATTCTTGTTCATATAAGGTATGTGATGTAATCAAGTCATTATTGTTTCGTTGTCTTAAAACTTTGTCATGTTTTTCTATGATGAGTATGTATTGCAATCTATGTGTTGTTATCAGAGGTACAACCTTATCAGATTAAGTTTTTGAAATCGGCTAGGCTCTCTATTCATGTCCTACACCCTACGCTTATACGCATTTAGTGCAGATCCACGATATCTGCAGTTCGGAGTCGTCCCATACAAATCAGACTCTCGGTTTCAAGGATTTTTCTTTTACTTTGTGGCCCTATAACCATTACTATAGACAATAGCTTTCAAAAAGTTATCCAATACCCTGCAATTTCCTACTTATATCTTCATTTATTCCTTTTTGAGTATGTAAGCACTGAAATTATTTGTACTTTTTGTGAGAACTGATAAAATCGATGCAGTAGCAACGATTGTAGAAGTATAATAAGTAAAGGAGCCTCGTTGCTTACCAAGCTTATTCAGTGGAGACTGTGTGTACAGTCTATATCCTACTTCTTCGTATTGCCAACGTGATTTTGTGCTTAATTATTATCCCCTCTTATCATAAACCCTCCGTGCAGGACCCTTAATCTCTAGCGCTATCTATTAATTTTGATTAACACCTCCTTACGTCGCCGGATCTTACGTATATACATTCACGTGGGACAATGACCTTGCCATACGTTACGTAAAACCTCACTCTACAAAACCCGACTGACATGGTCAGTCAGGGAGGCAGCCAGAAGGTAAGTGACAGAGCGAGTCTCCACCCGGGAAGATTGGCCACCCGGTCCCGTGTGCGTTCTGTCGCGTTATTATCAGCATGTACCTTTTCGACTTATTCCAAACCATCAATAATAAACATGGCTGCTGTCGTCTTAAACTTCACCCCTGAGATTTGTCTTCCGTCATCACCCTGAGCTACCATCCGAGGGCCGAAACCCTTCGCCCTTGGACACAACCAACAGAAGAAACTGGTGCCTTCGACATGAAAAGGCAGAAGCATTTGTCATCAAAGTGTCCAATCCAGCATCTACTGCTGCTAGTATTAATACACAAAAAGCTGACATGCTGACCTAGAGAAACTCCCACCTACACAAGAGTATATGTGGACGTCTACTGAAGATGTCATGGAACCCATTCCAATGACCCAGGAACGAATGCTAGAACTGTGTCTAGAATTGCTCACCTGTAAATGCACAATAAGCAGATACTCCTCATCCAGGTGTAGCTGCGCCAAGAACAACATTGGATGTCCCCTTGGATGCAATTGTGCTATGTCATGCCTAAACAGAAACAACTTACCTACCTCTCCAGAAGAGATAGTGACATTACTTCACAGCCCTTGACACTGTGATGTAATTTTTATATACATGTAATTCATAATACTACAAGTATTTATGTTTTTTTCACTCAATTGATTAACTAGTGCAATGCTTGGGCAAAAGTGCAATATATCTACAATTGTGAGTGAAACTATGTCCATTTTAATTGAAATCTGACTTTGGGGGTGGGTTGGTGTCGCTAGAGAAATTAGCTTTCAATATATCATTTGGTTAATCGTCAGGGATTAATTTACCACAGAAGTCAGTGAATAATGTACATCATTGCAAAGACGATGTAAAAAGCTTTCATATGATATATTACATGACCATGTTGAAGAACTACATTACATATTGATTTTGAAAACAGGTCAAAATGGCAGCCATCTAGAAATTCAAGATGGTCATCATAGATGTTCATAGAAAAACTTGAAACATCATTTTTCTTTATGATTTTATTATTTTTGTGTGTTTTTAAGCATTGTTGCAATTATCCTACTCATCCATTACATTAACATAATCTACCACCATATCTCAAAAAGCAATTTTCGTCAAAATTTGTTTTTGAGGGGTGGGGTAACATTGTATACATTATCTGAGCCCCTATATATTTTCATTTTGTTTTCTGAATAGGATAGCACAGTGGTTTAAGGCAGATTTTGATATGCAGTTATAGTGGTTTTATTGCCAAAAGTCATTGGAATAAGTGTTTTACCTTTGAAAAAGAAGGACAAAACATGATTTATATCAATGTTTTCACTGAGAAATAGAATAACAGTTAAATGAAACAAACTTTGCCAAATTCATTTAACCGAACATATTACCTGTAATCAAAGGTATAATAACTTAATAAAATTGTTAAAGCCACTTTTGTCAAACTATGCATTTTTCCTTGCGTTTACGCAATTGCAATTTTTTAATTTGAAGTTTATACGATATACGGCTTTTCCATTGGACAAGAGGTCGGTCACATGACCGCGAAATTGTCGTTCATAAGTGTATGACTACTTCCACATCCCTGGGGAAAGCCCTGGGAATTCCCTAGCACGAATACATACAGAAACGTTCTTTCTGAACATTTATAACCTTTAATCTTGGACTAAGCGTTCCAGTAAACATTGAGAAAAGTCAGAGAGTTTGACAGCATCATAGTTCACGAATATCCTCGCTACGAGCCATCTTAGTGAACAAAACGAAGAAATGCACTTCCAAACTATCATAGTATCGACTCGATCCGAGTCTAGGCAGACAGTGACAGTCTACAGCAATCTGTGATTTACCTAAGTGTTTATTTGACACATCTTTAATCGCTTGTCGGCTAGTTGATCAATGATGACTAAATCCTGTAACCCTCACTTTTATCATGTCAGCCATTTTGACGTCTTGTACATGTATTACGACGCGCTGTCACTGTGGCTGACTTACGGAGGTAGTTCTTAGCATACCTTTCTCCTCTAATGAGGATATCATTTGAGTACATTTGTTTACTGAAACTCCGACGTTCATACAGTTTGGCCCTCACGCTATAAAGGTTCATACTCCAGTGAACTCACACAACGTGAAAGTCAATTCTTAAATGACCCCGTGAAAATTCACGCACACACTTGCAAGCTTACTTACTACACAGTGAAAATTGTATACAGATACCTTCTTTATGCAATAGAAAGGTTTAAGGTAAGGGCACGACGTGGTCTGGAATTATCATCTTGCAGTTCAACATTTCTGCCGATAGTTCCAGCGAATGTACAACGACAGGACGCAAACAGCATTCGTCGACATATCTCTGTCTAGTCAAATGTCTATTCACAATAATAAGATCAGTTCGCCTGCCATGCCTTACACCGCCCCAGACTATGACACTACCGCCCTCATACCGATTATGGTCCAGAATTGTTGCCCTTGCATACCGCATGCCGCTACGTCGCCAAAAACGTTTTCTGCCATCTGTGAATCGGATGCAAAACCTTGATTCGCCTGTAAGCATGGTGTAACACAGCCTTCACATGACGCCTTGCTTTCAGGCGGACTACATAGAGCCGGTTTTTAACGGTGGATTTTGAAATTGGCCTTCCTGATAGTGTACGGAATGCTCTATTGGTAACAGGAGCAAATTTGAATCCATTGCGTAGTGCAATTTTTGCCATGAGGGGAGTTGGTCTAAGCGTCGTTTTTAGCCCTGCCACGCATAGGTCTCATTGCAACCCACCCGTTTGATGGTACTTTTCCCACAGAAACTACATTTTTTATTTGCCAAATAGTCGGGCAACTTGTGATATTGACGTCACCTCTTTGTCATCACCACAATTCGCCGCCATTTTGCCTGTTGGACCCGTGAAAACCCGAGGTAGAATAGGTCTTTAGCATCTCATGCTTGCCGTAAAAGGCGACTATGCTTGTCGTAAGAGGCGACTAACGGGATCGGGTGGTCATGCTCGCTGACTTGGTTGATGCATGTCATCGTGCCCCAATTGCTTGGATCGATGCTCATGATGTCAAATCACTGGATTGTCTGGTCCAGACTCGATTATTTACAGACCGCCGTCATATAGCTGTAATAATGCTGAGTGCGGCGTTAAACAAAAAAACAAGCAAAAAAAACCAAACATATATATTACGTTTATCGAATTTCACTGTAGGGAGTTCACAGCATCTCTGACACCTCTGGTTTTTTAAACTTGTATATGTATAATTAGATACCAGCACCGGACTTTCAAAGGGTCCTTATTATTCTAATCCAATCCCTGCAATGGCAGCCATATTGAAGTTGGCTACTTTGTCGTCCATCTATGGGCGATTTTATCATGTGTCAATATGCAAAGTTTATATCCGGTACGTATAGAGTGCGTGGAATAAACCGTATTTTGATTGTTACTGTGCTATGGCCTATCATTATGCAACATTCGTGCAGTTTTGTTATGATTCTTGTTAGCATAAACTTGATAACCCTGTTAGTATTTCCTGTTTAACATGATGCTGCAAACCTTTCAGAAAAATAATCAGATGAGCTTCTGGGAATTTTCCATCGCATGACATGGACGGATTACACTTACCGTGGTTCCTTTGTTACATATCTCAAGTTTTACGATTACGTGCGAAATTGGAACCGTTAAAAAAACCATCTGTCTTTTTAAGAAATTTACCCACAACCTACATGTATATATGTCAGATTAAAGACCTTTCGCTGGAGGAAACTTCCAATATCCAGTTCACGCACGCCCTTCGTGTGTGTATACAAATATACATATATACATATGTTACAGTAACGATCAACTTTGCAGAAGCATGTATCGTGCTGTGCTCCGACTCTGTAAGAAACAAGTATTGGAAAAATCAGTTCAAAGCTGGCATCAAGAATGTCGGGTACTTGGATTGTCCGCTGATTCCAATTCAAAAAGATTTACAAGCAACACAGGTAATGTAAACTTTTGTTTTTCGTAAAGGTGGAATTGTTGAACAATGTGAGAAATGGTATGAATACACAATATATGGTTCCGTGAGACAACACAAAGTTCCAAACTCTGAAAGATGATGTACATATTATAATCTAGAGAATATCGAAGATCTGTATCAGTTCACCTTCATATGGCCATCCTGTTATAAGGCGGTGTGTGTTATTGTTGAACAATCATTGTAACTGTGTCATATTGTTTCTGTTGAGATTCTTTTGCAATTCATTGAACTGTGTTTGGGCAGTGATAAGTCGTCGAGGAAAGGTAAGCAGTTGTCAGGAAGTTACTATATTTAGATGCTGGTGTTGCATGTACACTTCCGGTTACCACGGACGTTGATAGAATGTTGTAGAAACGTCTGTAATGTTCTCGTGCCGATGGACTGATGAGGACAGCTTTCATGTGAGGATCGCTCATTATCCATGATTCCCTGCCCGTCGCCGCATGGTGAAGATATATTACTATCACTGACATTTGCTATCACCACTGCATTTTTGTATTCGATACTGACCACTTCAATCATAGTATATATTACCATTGAATATTGCAATGCTGCTCTGTTGTGTATTGCCATGGTAATTGCTGTACAGCTATTCGTATTGAATTGTAAACCTAGTTATTTTTTGTAATACATTTCTTGATTGTATGCCGCTTGTTGTTTGTTTGTTGGTTTCACACAAGGTTCTTTCACATACACATTTCTGGATTAATATATTGTTTCAGTGTGGGAATCGCCACGAAACAATCCTTAAAAGATATTCGAAAGCAATATATGCCAAATAAATATCCACACACACCTGTCGGGAATCGCATGTTAACCCACACACGTCTGTCGGGAATCTCATGTTAATCCACTGACGTCTGTCGGGAATCTCATGTGGATCCACTGACGTCTATCGGGAATCTCATGTTAACCCACACACGTCTGTCGAGAATCTCATGTTAACCCACACACGTCTGTCGAGAATCGCATGTTAACCCACACATGTCTGTCGGGAATCTCATGTTGATCAATACATGTCTGTCGGGAATCTCATAATGATCAATACACGTCGGGAAACTCATAATGATCAATACACGTCTGTCGGGAATCTCATGTTGACTCACGTCTGTCGAGAATCGCATGTTAACCCACACACGTCTGTCGAGAATCTCATGTTAACCCACACACGTCTGTCGAGAATCTCATGTTAACCCACAAACGTCTGTCGAGAATCGCATGTTAACCCACACATGTCTGTCGGGAATCTCATGTTGATCAATACATGTCTGTCGGGAATCTCATAATGATCAATACACGTCTGTCGGGAATCTCATGTTGACTCACGTCTGTCGGGAATCGCATGTTAACCCACACACGTCTGTCGAGAATCTCATGTTAACCCACACACGTCTGTCGGGAATCTCATGTTGACTCACGTCTGTCGAGAATCGCATGTTAACCCACACACGTCTGTCGAGAATCTCATGTTAACCCACACACGTCTGTCGGGAATCTCATGTTGACTCACGTCTGTCGGGAATCTCATGTTGACTAACGTCTGTCGAGAATCGCATGTTAACCCACACACGTCTGTCGAGAATCTCATGTTAACCCACACACGTCTGTCGGGAATCTCATGTTGATCCACTGACGTCTGTCGGGAATCTCATGTTAACCCACACACGTCTATAAGGAATATCATGTTAACCCACACACGTCTGTCGGGAATCTCATGTTAATCCACACACGTCTATCTTGAATCTCATGTTAACCCACACACGTCTATTAGGAATCTCATGTTAACCCACACACGTCTATAATGAATCTCATGTTAACCCACACACGTCTATAAGGAATCTCATGTTAACCCACACATGTCTATGATGAATCTCATGTTAACCCACACACGTCTGTTGGGAACCTCATGTTGATCCACACACATCTGTTGGGAATCTCATATTGATCCACACGCGTCTGTTGAGAATTTCATGTTAACCGACACACGTTTATAAGGAATCTCATGTTAACCCACACCCATCTGTTGGAAATCTCATGTTGATCCACACGCGTCTGTTGGGAATCTCATGTTAACCCACACACGTCTATAGGGAATCTCATGTTAACCCACAAACGTCTATCTTGAATCTCATGTTGAGATTGTCTGTCTTTCCCAACTATCAACCAAACGGACTGTCTGCTCATGAAATGCTAACGTGGAATGGTGCTGGTACCTTAGTTCAAACTGTCCTTCACAGCCAATCCCTGACCCGTGAAGATCCGGGGTAGAATAGGTCTTCAGCAACACATGCTTTCTGTAAAAGGCGACTATGCTTGTCGTCAGAGGCGACTAACGGGATCGGGTGGTCAGGCTCGCTGACTTGGTTGATGCATGTCATTGATCCCAATTGTGTGGATACGATGCTCATGATGTCAAGCACGGGATTGCCTGGTCCAGACTCGATTATTTACAGACCGCCGTCATATAGCTGGAATATTGCTGAGTGCGGCGTTATACAACAAACAACCATAAAACAAACAGTCAGTCCAATCGATATGAACCAAGAATGACTTCTTGATTTTAACTATGATCTATTATGCCAGAAAAATGGCCAGATCTCAATTCAGACTTAATTGCCGAAAGAAAGAGCACCACCGTCTTTGTTTGCAAGCACTGAAAATAGTACAGCCTGACCTTTTCTAGTTGTGTTTTAAATCATTATTATTACAAACTATGAAGTGCATCGCCTATAACGTTTTCCTGTCCATATATATTATTGTTTTATCCGAAGGTTTTCTCCGTCACTACTCTTACATTTCCAGCATCATCAGCATCAAAGTCCAGTTATGAGAGTCTGGTTGAAAGACGACTATTTATGAAGACAGCAGTAAGTCAATAAAATCTTGCAAAAGCAATTCAAGCTCCCACATGTTTGATAGGAGATCCTATAACGTAATTATTAACGAAAGATGAAGTATATACCGTAACGGGCATTTGCAGACTATTAAAAAGCATAACATGACATAAATTGCATTGATACATAGTGACTGTTTTCAAATGATGTAGACCCGTGAAGATACGGGGTAGAATAGGTCTTCAGCAACCCATGCTTGTCGTAAAAGGCGACTATGCTTGTTGTAAGAGGCGACTAACGGGATCGGGTGGTCAGGCTCGCTGACGTGGTTGATGCATGTCATCGTATCCTAATTACGTGGATTGATGATGATGATGTCAAATCACTGGATTGTCTGGTCCATATTCGATTATTTACAGACCGCCATCCTATAGCCGGAAAATTGCTGGTGCGGCGTTAAACAACAAACAAACAAATCAAATGATGTAGAGTATAATCTTGTATTTCCTAAGTATGAGACAAATTAAGATAGTTTTTTGTTTGTTGTTTAACGCCGCACTCAGCAATATTCCAATTATATGACGGCGGTCTGTAAATAATCGAGTCTGAACCAGACAATCCAGTGATTGACATCATGAGTATCAATCCACCCAAGATAAGTAGTGGTGGCATGTTGAGGGTAACAGTGATACATAGCAAATGAAAATAAGAAATGCGAGAACATATCTAAATGTCATCGTATCACCTGACAGTATGCAAGCTCAGCAGATGCCAAGGCCGCCGCTGTGACGACAGTTGACGGCGGCAAAAATGTTGCAATCAAATGGGACGACGGAAGCGTATCAAGGTAAGCCATCAATATCAATACCATGTTAAAATAACATTACTATTTAATAATGTCTTTGTGTTTCGTATATCAACAGAAAACGCTGATGGTTGTAACATACATTGTATTGAAGTATTATCAATGTACATGCAATAGTAAAATATCTTACTATTGTGTCTTTATACTTTATACTGGGGCGGTCGGGTAGCCTTGTGGTTAAAGCGTTCGCTCATCACGCCGAAGACCCGGGTTCGATTCCCGACATGGGTAAGAAAAGAGAGAAATGCGCTACATTACAAGAGAGAATTGTCTTAGATATATCTGACTGTAAGAAGTGTATGGAAAAACTATCACACGCAAACACAAAAATTGACAAGCGATTAACTGATCTGCGAAAGACAGTGAGTGATGCAAACATGAAACTTGAAGAGAAAAGTTTGGAAATAACGCGGTTCTCCGACGACAAAAGTCTAGGTATTGCCAACTTAAAGTCCAAAGTTACCTTGCTGACAAATGGAATGAACTCACTGGAGAACGATTTATCTGAAGTCGACAAGTCTCACCGATCAACAAAACACAGTATGGACGAGTTAAGAAGAAACTCGTGGCCCTTGAAAAGCAGTTGAAGTAAACTTCAAACTATAAGTATATGACTAAAAAGGAATGGGTTGACAAAGCCGACAATCTAACCAGGATATTGCTGCGAAGAAGACAGGTGACGTCACTCTGATTGAAACCACAGCACAGCCACCTGTGTCACCCACATCTGGAATGAATAATCAAGAATGCAACAATATACAGACACAGCCTGTGACTCAACCGTCGCTCATACCTGTGGTAGTCTCAGGACCTGCACATATCCCAACATACAGTGAGCGCCTACAATCAATACCAGGCAGAACCAAGACGCCAACTGGACCTGTTCCGTCCCTACCTGCACAAGCTGGACCTTTATTAACAGAGACAAAGGAGACATCATCGCTCATCAAAACCATCGTAGGCAGAGACCAATGTGCAGCAACACGTGATGTTCCACAGGAATTATGTGCCGCTCCTCCAAGGGTAAGGACATCACACCTCTATATAGGTGGCATTAACAAATCCAATACAGTGGACTCTTTGAAACAATATTTGGATCAAAGACAAGTTACTATAACCTTTTTGAGATTCTTCAACCGCCCAGAGAGAAGATTTGCATCAGCACAAGTAAATGTCCTGATGCGAGATAAAGAAAGACTTGAAGACTCTTCATTTTGGCCGGTGGACATTATCGTCAAGCCATGGCTCTCTAGAGAACAATTCTGGCAAAAGATCCACACCAGAGAAGGAACACATGAACATCAAACTTATGAACAGAAGCAATAGACTTAATATGATGTGCTGGAACGCAAGGGGAATCATGTCGAGCGTGCCTTACCTCAACAAGTGTTTATCTGAGCATTGTATTGACATATGTGCCATTGCAGATCACCAACTTAGACAGTACAACTTGTCTTTTATGGATGTCCTTAATGAAAACTACTTTAATATTGCTAGCCCAGCTCCAGAGCAGCAACACCACACTTACAGTGCGTGCTCAAGTGGAGGCACCGCCATACTGTGCCATAAAAGGCTTCATAAGTATATATCTGAACTGACACTGGACTGTGATAGTGGTCGGATAACAGGGATAGAGCTCATCAACCAAGATACTAGCTTTACTTACTTGTTCTCGGTATACTTACCTCCCTCAAACAGATCACTAGAAGTGTTCCGGCACTATCTCCAACAACTGCAGGACATTTATGAAGCATACGCTCTCAGGGGACAAGTTATCCTCCTTGGTGACTTCAATGCAGGACTATGTGGACCAATATATTGCAAGAAACTTGACCAGAGAGGTAAAGCCCTCACCGATTTTATCAAACAACATAGTCTAGTACCTGTCAATATGCGGAATGATTGCAGAGGTCCAATTTTTACATTCCAAGCTTATGATGGTGGACCACAGTCGGCAATTGATTATATTCTGATTCCTGAGGAGTTATCTGAACTGACGACATTTGTGCAAGTGAAGGGAGATAATCCCTATAATATCTCTGATCATCACCCAGTAATATGCTCCTTGATTAACAGCATCATTGAAGAAGAAGACAGTCAACCTCACTTCTCCAAGCCGTCCTGGGAAAAGGTCATAAGGGATGGCACCCTAAAGGATTACACCAGTAGCGTCTCCCACCTGCTGTGGTCAGTCTCTCTTCCAAAGCAGGGGTGTAGTTCAGAAACTGTTGAAACATTTCACGCCAATATAGTTCGCTGTATTATCACATCATCAGATCAATTTATTTCACAATCCAAATTCTCTAAGCACTTAAAGCCATATTGGAAAGGTGCAGTGAGAGAACATCACCATGCTATGATGATGCGCAGAGATATATGGATTAAGAATGGACGTCCAAGGGGAATGGATCATGAAGAGTTCAAACAATATAAGGAAACGAAAGACTCCTTTAGAAACGCACTCAAGACTGCTGCCCAGAAGTTTGAGGCTGAAGAGTTTAACAAGCTCGACGAGATAAGTGACGTTGACCAGAAGCTCTTCTGGGCCCTGCTACGACGAGGAAAAGGGAAACAACAGATCTCATGTTTGAATATTAAAAACAAACAGGTCCGACACCCCAAACAGATATGCAATGCCCTTGCAGATCATCTCAAAGATGTATTTATGGACAAATCTGAACCACATTATAATGATGATTTCAAAGGGGGCATTGACAAAGAAGTTGAGAAAATACGTCAAACAATCCAAGCAGAAGGTAACAAGGCTGAACTTCTATTTACTTCACAGGAGGAGGTATTTCGCTTGTGCCTCTCACTTAAAAACAACAAGGCAGCAGGTGCAGACAAAATCACCTATGAACACTTGAAGTATGGGGGAAAATATTTATCAAGATGTCTTGCTTTACTATTCAATCTCATATTACATTACAATCAGGATATATCCCAAGAGATTGGAAGAATGGGGTTATAGTACCCATATTTAAAGGCGGAGATAAATCTAAAATGTCTCCAGACTCTTATAGAGGCGTGACACTCCTTCCAGTTATATTTAAACTGTTTGAACTTGTGCTATCTAAAAGACTTCCACAGATCACAGATTCTGACACCTTCCCATGCAATCAACAGTTTGGTTTCCAAAAAGGAATGTCATCAATCCACAGATCATTTCTGGTACAAGAAACAGCTTACCATTACTCAGAGCGTTCTGATGTAGTTCATGTAGACTTCCTTGATAGCTCTAAGGCTTTCGACACTGTCTACCAGCCTGGCCTTCTCCTGAAACTCTACTATATGGAAGTGCCACATCCGCTCTGGACAATTTTTGATCATATTTACACGGATATGAGAAGTTGCGTTTTAGCAAACAACGAGAAGTCATACTGGTTTCAACTTCACAGAGGTGTTCGACAAGGGAGCATTTTATCTGCAAAACTATACCTACTGTATATAGATGAGCTCTTGCGAAACTTAGTTAGGAGTAAGAAGGGATCTGTTGTACTGGACGTCAGCATTACTGCTCCCACCCAAGCTGACGATATCACTTTGATCTCTCCAGTGCCAGCACATCTTCAAGAAATGGTGTCTATTTGTGAAACATACAGTGGGCAATGGAGGTTTACATTTTCTCCGTCAAAGAGCAAATTATTGACCTTTGGCCCATCAAGTGCCGCTAACATCAATATAACATTGTATGGTCAAGAAATCACTACTACAAGAGAAATTAAACATGTTGGAATTTTACTTGACTCGGAATACAGCTCCTGGGAACGGACATTAGATGCCTGCTCAAAGATTAGGTCTACCACAATGGCGTTGTTAAGAACAGGAGTCCACGTAAGAGGACTGAACCCTCTGGTGAGTTCCAACATCTTAAAGAGCGTCTGTGTACCAAGAGCCCTGTATGGATGTGAATTGTGGTGTGGCTTAAGCAAAGCTGAACTGTTATCTTTAGAGCGTGCCCAGAGAGCTGCATTAAAAATTGCACAAGGTCTCCCTCGAAGCACACGGACTGATATTTGTAATGCCCTAATTGGATGGACCCCCTTGGAATCTGAAATAGACAAGAGAAAACTTCTGTTTCTAGGGGACCTATGCAATAGTAGAATAACGTTCCTTCCGAGAAGAATTTTCAGTACTAGGCTTTCCCTCTCAAATTACTATTGCTCTACCACTTCCCTGGGTTATGTTCCTGACATTAAACGTATTATGTCTAAATATAATCTTGAGCAATTCTTGAGCAGCTTTAGTACCCATGGTACATTCCCCAGCTGTCATACCTGGAAGAAAATTGTGAAAGATGCCATTAAAGCGAATGATCTTGAAACCTGGAGAAAACGCATAAACTCTGATCCAGACCTAATGCATTTTAAACAAATTCATCCGGTTATCTCCCCTCACAAAGCATGGGAAATTGCTAGAAGAAACCCAGATCTGAAACAAGCTGCAACCTTCGTGATCCACATGTGCGCAGTCTGGAGACCTGGGAAAGTCCAGGGTGTGTGTGACATGTGTAAGTTTGCCCACCAGGACTTGCTCGTTCATGTTGTGTGTACATGTCCACAGACAGAGCAACTCAGAGACAATTTGTGGTGTAGCATAGTCGACACTTGTCCAGTGGAAGTCAGCGTGGCTCTCCATAACAAGCAGGAAATTGAGTTAGTTTGCTGTCTCCTAGCATGTACGCCCCCGATCCCAGCAAATCCAGATATGGTAGAGAACTTTGCAAAAGCTGCAATCAAAGGTCTCTTCCAATTGAAGAAATATATAGACCTTGTGAAGAAACATTCTGACATGTGAGCAGGGATAGACTTAACATAAGAATGCCTCTTTTCGTACACTTGTAAATACTGTATTTATATGTTTGTAACTCTCCTATGGAGGAATAAAGAATATATATATATCTGGATGTGCGGTAATCCAGGTGTTACTTTCTTACGATCTGTCATCTGTTTGTTCTCTTATCTCATCCTGGTAACTCTTAC